TTCTTAGAATCAGTATAACTTATAATGTCTACATCTGTGTACCCCTCTAGCGTAGGTTCATCATTGCCAAAACATAAATACAACTTGGAAGTACCTCTTAGATATCTTAATATCTATTTTACTATTGCCTAATGCTCATTACCAAGATTAGAGAGAAATCGATTGATAACTCCAACTACATGAGCTATATCTGGCATAGTACAAATCATAGCATACATCAAACTGTCTACTGCAGATGAGTAAGGCAACTTGGAGATTTCTTATTTTTCTTTCTCACTTGTAGGACATTGTTTCGAAGTAAGCTTGAAATGACATGCAAGTAGAAAAAAAACTACTTTGGCTTTACTCATGTTGAATCTTTCAAGAACCTTTTCAATGTAGGTCTCATAAGATAACCAAATCTTCCCTTTCTTCCTATCATGAATAATCTTCATGTCAAGTATTTATTTTATCAATTTCAAGTCTTTTATGGCAAAAGACTTACCTAGCTCTCTTTTAAGCTTTTCAATTTGACTAGCATCATGACCAACAATCAACATATCATCAATATATAGTAGGAGAATAATGAAATCATCATCTGAAAATTTCTTTGTAAACACACAATGATCATATGTGATTCTATTATACCTTTGTCTCATCATAAAGGAATTAAACTTCTTATATCACTATCTATGTTCTTGTTTGAGTCTATATAAGCTTTTCCTAAGCTTGTATACTAGATTTTCTTTTCCCTTGACTTTGAAACCTTTTGGTTACTCTATGTAAATTTCTTCTAAGTCACCATGAAGAAATGTTATTTTCATATCTAGTTGCTCAACTTCTAAATTCAAGCGGGCAACCAAACCAAGAACAACTTAGATAAAATATATTTTCATCATAAAAGAAAATATTTCTTCAAAGTCAATACCTTTCTTCTGTTTGAATCCTTTCACAACTAGTCGTGCCTTGTATCTTTGTAAGCTATTTTTCAGTCTTCAATTTGTAAACCCATTTATTCTTGAGAGATTTTTTTTCTTTAGGTAACTTTACTAAGTTATAGGTGTGGTCTCAAGCAAGGATCTCATTTATTCTTGTATGACTTTAACCCACTCATTCTTATGCTTACATAGAATAGCTTCTTGGTAAGTTTTTGACTCTCCCCCATTAGTAAACATAACATACTCATGTGGATGATATCTGAAAGATAATTATCGCTCTCTTATGGATCTTCTCATTGGAATCTCAACTGGTGGTGGAGGTGCTTATTCAGTTGGTTCAACATCATTAACTATAGGAGTATCCTCACTAGCATTCTCACCACAATCTTCTTGTTCATCTCCCCCATGATCATTATGAACTACAGGTGAGGAATTGAACCCAAACTCCAAGGAATATAAATAGAGGTTTTTAACTTCTCAATATTATCACTATCATCAAACAATTGGTCTTCAAGAAACATAAAATCTCTGCTTCTAATAATCTTCTTGTTCATTGTATCTCATAATCTGTACCTAAACTCTTCATGACTATACCCCAAGAAGATACATGCTTTTACTTTATTATCAAACTTGGATATCTTATCTTTGAGAATATGAACAAATACTTTGAACTCAAAGACTCTCAAGTGATTATAAGATATATCTTTTCCTTTCTATACTCTCTCTAGAACATCATCTTTTAGAGGAACTAATGGAGAAAGATTTATTAGGTCACTTATAGTTCTCATAGCGTCTCCCAAAATGACTTAGGTAACTTGGCATGAGAAAGCATATACCTAATCTTTTCTTCAATAGTTCTGTTCATCCTTTCTATCACACCGTTCTGTTGAAGAGTTTTAAGAATTGTTTTCTCAAGTATGATACAATGGAATCTGTAATAATTCTCAAAAGATCCCTTGTACTCACCACTATTATATGCTCGAACACACTTTAGCTTTCTATTAGTTTCTCTTTGACATGAAACTCTTTGAAAATGTCGAGTACCTGATTTTTAGATTTCAAAACAAAAGCCCAAACTTTTCTAGAATGGTCATCAATAAAAATAACAAAATAAAGAGCACCTCCAAGAGTTTTAGTTTGCATAGTACATACATCAATATGAATCAAATCAATAACATTTGATCTTTTAGATGATAGATATGTATGAAAGATAACTCTATGTGTTTTTTCAGCTAAGCAATGATCATAAAATTTAAGAGATGTACCTTACAACTCTGGTAAGAACTGCTTTCTACCAAGAGTTTGAAGTTCCTTCTCGTTGATATGACTAAGCCTCTTGTGCTAAAGATCTATATTTTCACCATTCTAAATTGTATTAATCTCTCCTTTGTGTAGCTTAGCTTCCATGATATAAAAAGAGTTTAGCTTCTTTTCTCTCGCCATAATTAGAAAACCTTTAGCGAGTTTTCATTTGCTTTCACTAAAATAATATGTAAATCCCTCATCATCAAGTCTGCTTATAAATATCAAGTTAATATTTGAAATATGTCTAACATCTTTGAGTATCAATTTGCTCCCTATACTGGTCTTCAAGCAAATATCTCTGATACTCATAATCTTAGATGTACTACTATTGCAGATTCTGACATTGCCAAAATCACCAGCAGTGTAAGATCTGATGAAATCACCGTGAGAAGTAACATGAAATGAAGCACAAGAGTCAATTACCCAATTACTGTCTTGAGCTGCAAGACTGACACAAATGTCATCACAAACAATAATGATATCACTTTCAGCAACAACTGTATTGGTCTCTTTCTTATTTTTCTTCCTCTTATTACGTTCTCGCTTCTAAAACCTACACTCTTTCTTCATGTGACCTAACCTGTTATTGTGAAAACATTTGATACCTCTTCTAGACTTGGATTTTCCTCTATAATAATGTGGATTTCTACTATGACTACTTCCACGTCTTTCTTGTTTTTCAATAACAAATACACCAGAAAAAGATTCTCCATATTTTTTTCTTCTTGCATTTTCATTTAGTAAACTGTTTTTAATCATATCTATAGTTAAAGTCTCCTCTAGCGTAGAGTTACAAATTATAACCACATGCGTTTCCCAACTTTCTAGTAAAGAGCTGAGAAGTAAGAATCCTTGCATCTCATCATCTATATTCATTTTCATAGTAACTAACTTGTTTGCAAGACTTTAAAATTGGCTTATATGCTCAATAATATTATCACCATCTTTATACTTCAAATTCACAAGCCTTTTAGGGGGAGAAATTTTATTTTCCACTATTTTTTTCATAAAGAGGTTTTCTAACTTTTGTCAAATAACATCAGCTCTGGTTTAATCAGAAATATACTCATGCAAATTTATATTCAGCCGTCTTCTAATATAGGCAATAGTTTTTCTATGTTGAACCTCTTATTTCTCATCTTCCATAATAGAAGGTTTATCTTTAATTTTGACAGGCTTATACAAATCTTCATAATAGAACAAATCTTCCATCGTATGTCTCCAAGTAAAATAATTTAATGAGTTCAATTTAATCATCTCATTTGACTCTTCTATTTCAATCGTATAAGAAAAAAACTAGTACTCCACATTTGACAAAAACCCTAAAAACTTTAATTTTTTCTCTTCTTTTCTTCATGCTGTTACTGTTGCTGCAATAATTTCTTTTAATACATCAAATTTAGGCTCAGTGCCTAAATCATTTCGTCCAAGCCCACGCTGGACCCAATAATTAATATTTTTTCTCGGATTTATGATTGGCGCTTTTCTTCAATAAAGTCTCTTACCATCCGACAAGAGCTTCGTTACATTATTGCAGTTCATAAACCCTAGTAAAGACTCTCTCTTGGAGAATGAAGAAGTAGTCATCATTGTATCAGAAGAAGAGTCCGACTTCCTTCAACTGCTGACGCTCGTATGTTGTTGATCTCCTCGAAATCGTTGCTGAGGCCGTCATGTCCGTGCTGAGGATTCTCCATTCCTGTAACACTTTACTTTCTCCTTGGACTGACACCATTTCCCCTACCTCTCTTCCCATGGAAATGGCCATCATGGCCTGACTCATCAAACACTCTTCGCAGCACTCATAAGAAACTAGATGACAGTATGCTCAGAAGAAAGAGACAACAGCCCATTGGAAAACGCATCAGACACTGCAAATCTTGTCTTCCAGATCATGAAAGAGAAAAGCCAGCATAAAATCTCTTTCTTTTTCTTTTCTGAATCAGCTTATGACTTATGTAATAAAATGTTGTTGTCAGCTAATCTGAACTTGAACGAGTATCTAAATGTCAAATGACATTTTTTCAGTTAGCTAGCTCGTGATCGAGTTCCTCTGATCATTATATTATGTTTGCAGATTGATTTTAAATCTTTGTAGAGAGAAGAAGAAGAAGAAGAAGAAGATCGTGAGTTCTGGTATCTTGAAGAATCTACTTTGTCTCCTGGAAGTAATCTAAAAACTTGAGCGATGGAGCGGAGGGATCGACCTCATAAAAGTACGTCCAAAAGTGCAACTTTGGGACATTATATATCTTTCATCTAAATGAAAAGGAGAAAGAGAAATGGGGATATCAACTGTTAACTGGGAGATTATAAGGCCATTTTCTATACTACTTATCGAAGTGCTTTGGATGCGAGTTTATGAATCCTTCTCGCTGAGTCAGGCTGTTCATTGCCAGACTCAATAGGAATAATACTGTGTCTTAGTCCAGCATCCGCATAATGATGAGTACAGACGCGAAACTGTATGACACTGTTACATGGAGCAGTAGTCTTACCTTAGATTTATACAAATCTTTCATATTATCAACCATATGATTATAGAACTATCGGATGAGAAATATCATTGTAAATTTGTACAAAAGCATAACATAGACAACTTCTTGAAACGATGTACTACTTCCTTAAGAATTTAAAGCGAAAAAACTGTGGCTAACTCTCATCTTAGAAATTGCTGGAATCTTTCAACACCGCCAGTTATCTCATTCTTTAGCTGTTCGTGTAAACTTTCAAATGTGTGACTGAAAGTTCTAATTTTAAACAGAATCACTTCGCATAGATAGTGCCATGATCATCATTCTTCTACAACATACTCTTGCATGAACAAGTGACATATAGTGTAGGGGGAGAGAGGGCGAGATGATGAACTACGAAAGTGCAAAATAACGTTCACATCTAAGTGTATCCAAGTCGAAGTTCCAAATCAAGTTCATCCTTGCGATCTCCACAAATACCTATCTCCAACTCGAGTCTCACAACTTCTCTCCCTTGTTGCAACTCATTGCCCGTGTCCTTTTCCATCAGGTCCTTCGCCTCTCCGGTCCCAAACAAGGCCTTCACCGTTTCCATCTTGTTCAAGTCATCACCTCTTGAGAAAGAGAAATGTGTCAGAGGAGAAGTCATGGAAGGCAACGTATTGGGTGCTAGGAAGATCTTATCCCCAGAAGAACTCGAAGGTGGTGGCATGTTGAGGTTAGGAATATTAGGAGCACTGCTAAAAGGAACAGGTTCACCACCAGGGCTAGGGTTAGGGTTAAGGTCAAAAGGTAGGGGTCCCGGAGGTGGGGACTGCCTCAGCCTGGCTTTATCCCTTCTGTGGACATTCATATGACCCCCAAGAGCCTGAGCTGTCTTGAATTCCCTGCTGCAAAAGCTACAAGAGTATGACCTTGGAGGCCATGAAAAGCCTGCTAAGAAGCTACCAGGAAGAGGGCCCCCTTTTGCAGTGTGGGTGTAGCTCATCCATGGCTCCTTCCCCTTGCTGCTGCTGTTGCTGCTACAGTTGTCCGTGGTGACTCTACCACACCTCTCCATTGATGTCTCGGCTGGGTACAACCTGCAGAGAACAGAAGATCATCAACTCCAGCGTTGCTGAAGACCAACCACTGAAGACACTTCATAAAGCAATCAAAGAAGAAGTACCCAGTACTTTCTCACCTGAGAGGGCACTGTAATCATGATATGGAGGTGGTGTGTCTCTCCCCCCTCTTTAATATGACCAATTGGTTTGCTTCTGATTTCACTTGCTAGGATTATTGTATCGTCTGACGCGAGAGTAATGGGGTTGCAGAAGTGCCCATCAAAATTCTAACCCTGAAACTGAAAATCCCATTCGCGGTACCATCTTCAAATGTCTGCTACTATAACTGGGAAACACTTAGCAAAAGTGGCTCCAGGGGACCTGCCACAATATACTCTTAGCTACATTTGTAAGCTCCATGTTCCAACTCTTTCTTTGAGTGCTCTTGGCTTTGCATGTCAGAGCAGTGATGACATGACACCAGTGAGTAGAAACGTTGAGTCATTAGCATAAATCAGACGACACCATAGTTAGTAGTTATGTAAGCCTCTTAGGTCAAATTATTCTTTCTTGCACCCAACTTATGTAATATGGTTCGTTGTTCTCAAAGACCATAAAGGCTTATCCACTACATGTGACTTTTCACTTGGTAGATGCTCAAAATCCAGTGATGTCAAATATTATTTCCCCATCCATAAGCTATACATGAATACAACGTTAGTTGTTTTTCCACACAAAATAAAAGAAAAAAAAATCGGAAGGACTACAAAATTGCTGATAAGTGAGGAAAGACTTCTATTGAGGTGGAACCTTGTTTCCGTAATTAGATTGATCATTAATACAAGTATCGTATGCTGGTAGGTACGTACTATCTATTAATTAAATACTAGTTCTGGAAAATCTCACAACCATGATACTTGAGTTTGAAAGTTTGTGAAATAGAAGACATTGTCTTTTCTTCTGTTTAAATGATATCCTGCATGTTATGAGCATTTAGTTCATTTAGTTACTTGGATTTTGCTTGCTTATCAATTATATCAAATTCATTGCGTGTGATATAGAGAACAAAAGGGCATCATTCTTATGGTACAACACAGATTCCACAAGAGTAGCGTTCCTCAGCATGGCAACAGCTTCTGACTTGCAAATAAAAAGTAGATGGCAAATTTTCTGTGGAAGTGACACCAAGAGGGACAAATGGATTCCACCACACCCTGGCCTTAGATCTTCTGGGAGACAAAGGCACCCAACTGCATGCAACATTTCTTTGCTAAATCCAGGCATCCTTTAATAAGGTTGCATGGCCAAATTTGCAGATGTTACCCAGCAGAGATTAGGGTTTGCGTCTCACACACTCCATCGCAAGCGTTGCAGTTTAAATCCATCTCTTGTCCACAGTGAAGTCCCCTTAAAGCTAGAGCTTGCTACATGTAGGATGAGGATAATAGGAAAACCCAGAAGGTTTTCCTCTGTAGTTTCTTGCTAGTTTTTTGGTCATTTGATTGGCTCTGAGGAATCTGGGTCTGATGTGCCATGCAGATCCCCCAGACTTATGATTGGCCAAGGCGTCATCTCTTTTAAGAAGACATTCCATCAGTCTGCTGGCTTTCGATGCAGCGGAGAGAAAACTGTCATAATTATCTCTCAAGTCATTCGAATGAAAGACATATATATATATATATATATATATATATTGTATGTCATTGGTGATGGGGTACGAAAAACAAAGGTAAACACTAAAAAACAAAAAACAAAAGGCACAGACGAGGAAACCTAAGACAGGATGTTGCACCGATCATGCAAAATGGATGTGCTTATAATTAACCAATACATCGCAGGGTGATGGAGATGTTGAATTTGGTAGGTATTCTTGGATTTCTACAGTCACTGTCTTTTAATAAAAAATTAAGAAATTATTTTTAATAAAATTTTATAAATTTATATGAGAGAATATATCATAGATTTATTTAAATTTAGGTTAATTCAATGCACTTATAGCTTTATCTTATGTAGTGAAAATTTTGATTTTGTTTCATTTTATCTCAAGAATTCAATGTATTTAATGTGAGAGAGTATACAATAGATTTGTTTAAATTATTTTATTTCATAGCTTCAATATTTTTTTAATAGTAGTATACTAGACCCTCTTGTTAAAGATTGAGAGTTTGAAACCTCATCCAATATATTTTGATAGTATAATAAAAATCGATTAGGTAAGAGAAGCGTTGCGAGGATTTCACTCCATTGCATCTCTCATGGCAATTAGTGATTCTTCACCGGTGGCAAGGCATCACCCCACTCACAGTGGTAAGACTCGTGCTGCGATACTCCTGCCGAGAAGGTGATCCTCATCTGGAAGGAAACTTCTGCTCACTTTATGGCATCGATGAGCTGCCCCTCAAATCACAGAAATCGGTAGCAATATTCCTATCGAGGGTGAAGTTCTGATTATGCAATCGATATAGGCAAGGAACTCCATCGAGATCTCCCCGATTCTGCAAGAAGCATCTTCCCCCAATGTAGCATTTTCTCTTTGAGCCGCGTGCATTACCTTCTACAATTTAGCCACGCAAAAAAAGATCTCTGCAGGTTTCGCATGCAAGCATTCCCAAATTGGGCACCTCTCAAATCTAACGCTCGAATGCACAGCTAGCCTCACCTAGTAGCGTGGACCCCTTCCTCCCTATAGTTAGCAAACGAGGCTAAGTGAATGGGGGTAAGGATCCTTCCCTCATACCTAACCCAAATGTGCACATTGCCATTGTGGTCAACGCCTCCCCGCTGCTTGAGTTGAGGATATATTTTGTTGATATTAGATCCCTCTCTATCTTCATGATATTATCAAACCAACATGCTTTCTTGAAGGGTCGATCAATTCATGAAATAAGTGTCACAAGTATCAACTCATCAAAGTTCCTCCAAGAATGAATTTAAGAATTAATCTCCATAAGGCTTATGATTTTGTTAGATGAGATTTTTTTTCAACATTTACTAGAAATATATGAATTCCTGATATAATTCATCAATTGGATATAGGCATGTATCACAAATACTCCTTTCATTATTAATTTAAATAGTGTGAGTATGAGATTCTTTAAAGAGACCAAGGGTCTTAGACAAAGCTATACTATGGTCCATTATCTTTTTTTGATTATTATGTAGAATCTTTCTAATGACTTAAATAGTTGTATACTATTCAAGGGAGCTTTAACTGCATACTGTTACAACCCTTTAGTAACCCATTTTATGTTTGTGGATGACCTTTTTATATTCTCAATAGCAAATGTCTCCTCGGTTGCTTCAATTCATAATATCATGCATCAATTTACTAATGATTCTAGACGGGAAGTCAATGTAGAAAAAATCCCTTCTATTCTTTGCAAGATGTTTGCGAGATACTCAGTAACATATCTCAAAATTATTGCACATGCCTATTGGTTCCATTCCTATCACATTCTTAGGTATTCCCTTAATCAGTAAAAGATTATTCTTCTTAAACTGTGTGCCCCTTATACAGTTTATTGTGAACAAAATTCTAAGTTGGAAGAGCCACCATCTTTCCTATATCAGTCATATTCAATTGATTCAAGTTGTTATTACTAGGAAAATACTATATCAATGAAGCATCTTTCTCCTCCCTTACATAGTCATCCATTAGTGAAAACAAATGATAGTATGATTTCTATGATATGGAGAGGATTCTAACGAACTTCACAAGGTCACTTGGTAAGCTGCATGTAAATTGCTGCATGCAGGAGGACTTGGTATTCAGAATATCCAATCCCTTAACCGGGACAATGGTTTTGAAAAACGACTCTCTTTGGGTTGGATGGATTATAAAGGACTATATAACTTGCAGATCAATCTAGACCATTCTTATCCCTACTATTTGCTCTTGGAATTTCAAAAATATATTATAGGTTTAGGGCAAAGCAATGCATAATGTCACTCGTATTATTGGTGATAGGTAAGACACTTATATAGCTTGACCCTTACCCTCCAAGAGGAGTTTTAAAGTTTGTTATTGAAGATTTTATACAATAAGAGATATCTCCTAATCCTTTGGCTCGGATTGTTTATTCATATTCGTAAGGATGGAACCTGGGAAGTCGACTACTCCCATTCCTCGAACGTTATTCCTATTTGGGACAAACTCCACAAGGTTAGGACTCTTCCAAACTCTAAAAAGGACTATGTGATTTGGAAGCCTTCAAATTCAAGCAAATTCACCTTAAAATCGACTTATGATGCATTAGAGAAGCCAACTATCGAGGTTGCATGGAACAAGCTTATTTGGTTTAAAGTATATGTATATCAGTTTTCTTTCATCTTTTGGCTCGCTTGTTTAAACTGTTGAATCTCGGATTTTGATGATGAAACCAATTGATAAATTTATGATCTAATTTGCGTTTTGAGTGACGTAGGATTAACTTCGATCAGAAAAGATAAATCGATTAAAGTAGGAGGAATTAGACATTGAGCCAGAGTAAAACATGTTAGGAGATTGGACGTCGAGCTGGATGATTGGTTGATGTATCAGCAGAAGGATTTTGTTCCATGAGTTCGGGTATAAGGCTGAAGGATCGGACATTGTGCCAAGGAGATTAGATATTATATAAGTCAATATGCTAATTGGGCAATACGCCGAAGGAGAGGACGATGCATCAAAACATCGGATGAAGTGCCGGATAAACCAATGATATGCTGGACAATATAGGATTTATGCTTATAATAATTTGTCTAGATCAAAATAGTTTAGGTCTAATTGAGTTAGTTTCAAGTGTAATCAGACTACCTCAATTAGGGGCCCATTGGGTCGGAGTTGGGACTATTTTGAGTTAAGAGAGGCCCATTTAATGACCTTTAGTTGGCCAAAGCGGTGGCATCGCTAGGGCTAGCGGTAGCACCACCTGAGGCTCGGCCTCCTAGGTGGTCTGGGTGGTAGTATGGCCCAAATCGGGTGGTGGTACTACATGTAGTTAATGTTGCCAAGCGGTGGTACCCCCTTGTTAAGCGAAGGTACCACTAGAGCCCAGTTTTCGAGGTTCTATCAAGTAGTGGTACCGCCCAGATTGGGCGATGATACTGCCCAGTGTTAGACTAACAAATTATGGTATCGCCTAATACTAGTGGTGGTATCGCTAGTACCATAAAAACCCAAGATGAGATTGT